TAGAGGTGGTCCAACAGTCTCCCATCTCATGTTTGTAGATGATATTGTCCTTTTCTCTGAAGCTTCGGTGCAGCAAATGCAGGTAATAATGGAGTGTTTAGATCTTTTTTGCAGAATGTCTGGTCAAAGTATAAGTGTTCATAAGTCTACCATTTATTTCTCTTCTAATACATCTGATGCAACTGCAAATGCAATTTCTGCGCTCTCTGGGTTCAAAAGAGTTAGTAGCATTGGTAAATATCTGGGCTCTTTTATCAGGCAATGACGAAATTTGAAATCAAATTATGCTGATCTAATGGATCGGGTTCGTAAGAAACTTGATGGCTGGAAGCATCAAAGTTTATCTTTTGCAGGGAGAGTCACTCTGGCTAAATCAGTGATTGGTGTTATTCCCTCTTTTCATATGCAGAATGGTCTTCTTCCCACTTCTGTGTGTGATGAGATTGAACAGCTTCAACGGAACTTCATTTGGGGTATTAATAAAGCTCATTTAGTGGCTTGGGACACAATGTATAAGCCGAAGAAAATGAGAGGTCTTGGTATTATCAGATTGCGTACTCAAAATGAGGCTTATATTCATAAGTTGGCCTGGAAAATCTTAACTGACAAGGAGGAACTTTGGGTTAAGATTTTGAGAGCCAAGTATGGAAGAGGTAAAGATTTGAGGCGTGAGATAAGCTCTAAGCCTTATGATTCTAAACTTTGGCAGGACCTTTCTAAATGTTGGAACAGTTTTTTAGCCGGTCTTCGATGGGAGGTGGGTGATGGAGAGACTATTAAATTCTGGGCGGATAATTGGTTGAATCTGGATGATAATCTTTGTAATTTAGCTCCTAATCACATTCCTGATCTGGAATTGCATAGAACCATTGCTGAGATCTTTCAGCATGGTACCTGGGATGTTCGATATTTGAAGCAATTCTTAAATGATGAGCTAATCTCTAAGGTGTTTTGCGTTCCTGTTGCTTTGGAAGATAATACTGAGGATAGGTTAGTTTGGTGTCAGAATCATGTGTCCTCTTCCTTAGTTAAGGTTGCCTACTTGAACTTGATGAATTTTCAACATGCTCAAAGGAATGTTCCCTGGAAGAAGATTTGGGACTGGAAGGGTCCAGAAAGAATCAAGACTATGATGTGGCTGGCTTTTCTTAATAAGCTTCCAGTTAGGAGTCGTACATGCAAATGGAATGGGGGTCCTAATTTTTGCATTAACTGTCCAAACAGTGAAGAAACTCTTATTCATGTCCTTAGAGATTGTTCTCAAGCCAAAAGATTGTGGATAGATTGGTTTGGTAGAAGGGTCCCCAACGATTTCTTCACTTTAGACCTACAACCTTGGCTCATAAAAAATGTGAGTAAGGGTTGGAATTATCAAATTCATGTTGATTGGAGAGATGTTTTCTATACTACTTGCTGGAATCTTTGGAATTGGCGTAATCATCATATTCATGATGATAGTTTCCGAAGGCCAAGTAATGATAAGCGTGTCATTTCTGATTTTATTGCGCATTTAATTGAAGCTAGAGGTAAGAATAGAAGCATTCTTGGCAGCTTCCCTAATGCCCATCAGCCTACTAAATGGTGTCATCCTGAACCTGGTCGGTTGAAGATTAACACAGATGGTGCTTCTTCCTTATCTAGGCAGCATGCTAGCTGTGGAGGCCTTGCTAGAGATCACAATGGTGCTTTTCTGGGTGGTTTCTCTTTCAGATTAGGTTTCTGTAATCCTCTTGATGCAGAACTCTGGGGTATCCTCAAAGGCTTAGAGCTGGCCTGAGGTACTGGTGCTAGGAGAGTGGAGTTGGAATGTGACTCAGAAATTGCTCTTAGCACTATCCAAGAAGAGAGCAACAATCACAGAAACTCTCAGGTTGTTTCCCGTATTCACAAATGGCTTGCTGAAGATTGAGATGTTCGTTGGGTACACACCTTTCGAGAAAATAACAGATGTGCTCACTGGTTTGCTTCTAGGCATTTTGAGGATGATAATAATCTTATTGTTTATCATTCTCCTCCTTCTCCTTTGTTTGAGCTCCTTCTTCAGGATGCTTCTGTAGATCTTTTAAGTTCTCGCGTCGTGTAATTTTTGTTTTGTTTGGGGCTTTTGCCCCTCTTTATTACAAAAAAATAAAAAATAAATATACGATTATGAAAGATGCTTTGTATAGGTATCATGTATAGCTACCTATAAAATTTCATCTAAAATCTATAAACAAGAAGTTCTAAAACTAATACCATAAGTTCATAATTGATAACCAAAATACTAAGTACTCCACAACAATATCTCATATCATTTCCACTATTGACTCAACACCTGCTGTAGCAGACACTTGGTTTTGTTCCTTCATCACCATTCTCCTCATCTTCCTTAACCAATTTATGGTGCTAGCAGCTTAGTGATCATCACCAACAGAAGAAAGGTTATCTCAGCAGCTTTCTTGGGATTGGGTTCGGACCCAAATTTGATCATGAACCTCAATCTCACCCAACTAAAATCAAGCAACCCTTTTTTATGCACTTCCTTGATCAACAAATGGAGAATGATTGACATGACTTATTGGCAGCCATGGATGATGCCTGGTTCTACAACTTCTTGACCAACAATATGAGAGTCAACAGTTTGACACCAACCACCATGCAAATATAAATAAGAAGTAAGTTTAACATATTAATTACATCGTTACATGTAGAAGTTGGATCCTCCCATTATCCACAATACCAAGTTTGTTACATCAGAAAGACAGAGATGGTACATCATAAACAAACACAAAATCCATGCAACCGTCCACACTAAGTACATGGCTTCCACATAATTACAACTTGGTGTGATATGCAAAAAAGATAGCATAGCTTATATTTAGGACTCAACAAGCATTTTTGTTGGCATACACTACAATACCAATCACCATTACAGAAACCATATGCAAAAGCATAGAAAATTTCAAGAAATAGTCCTTATCCTTGCAGTTACGGCATGTCAGTTCATCGACCCACTCAAAAAAATTACAAGTTCCTCGACGTGTGTTGAAATTAGGACATCCGAAGAACTGCCTGCCTGGGTTCCTTGTTATCCAGCTCTTGCGAACCACGGCCGTCAGTCCACATTTACACATCTTCAAGTTCGATGAGGATACACATGACGATTGTCCAGAAAATACACTATGACAGCCATCTCCACCCATTATGCATGCATGAAACGATTTCTGCCTGTGACACAAAGTGACCCACAACACCCAATGACTACAAGATTGGCTTATTGTTAGTACAAAATATCATAACACACGGTGAAATATACATGTATACAACAAATGTACATTCAATTTTTGGTACATAATTGCGACTAGAATAACAAATTGCAGCACAACTTTGCTTCATAACCAAATAAGGCTTACAGAGTACAAAAATAAAACCCAGTCTCACAATTTCCAACAAAATTTAGGGGAAAACAAGGGAGAACAGGTGGACTCACATAGAAATGCAAACAACTTAATACTCAAAACAAAGTTTATATACCCAATCTACCTTTTCATACCATAAGGTGAACCGAAAACGTTCAAGCATTGTAATCACCTTTATGGAATATATAAAACGATGTAGATACCAACTTGTAAAGTATGGATCTTTACGGATAGATGGGATTGTGGATTTCTTCACAAAGTTAGCTGCAAAACATAAACCGAAAGGGTTTACTGTAGTTGCGGTTCGACAGCAACCACCATTCACTAAAATTACCTCACAGTCTGGACGGCCAACAGACACGAGTTGCCTGCGCGCTTGGCAAAGTGGATAGATCTCCGGCAAGCCCAGCTCAACAAACCAGAAGACAGACCCCAACAGTAGTTCGAAGAAAACGTAGACCGAATGGGACAACAGTGACGACCAAATATGAGTGAAACGGTCAAAATGTGTTGTTTCAAACGTTATTATTTCAAACTAAAAAAGGTAAAGGGTAATTTTGACATTTTCTTTAACTATCCCATCAATATTTTACAAATAACCAAACATAGTATTTATAAAATTAACTACATTTTTCCGGCAAAATTAATCCCAACCAAACACCTTTTTGTAACTTACCAGACAAAATGTCCTTCCCTCTATATTCCAGTAATACTTGTTTCTTGGTTTAAAAAAAAATTCTCCCGTACCAAACACCCCCTTATAAGCAACGACCTTGATCGTCCATTAACGTCAGCCCCATATTAAATGATGTTCCTAGTGACTCATTGTTTTCATCCATCCTTCGTTTTATATTTAAATTTTGTGAGCTTAATGATATTGGGTTGTGAAAATTTAGATAAATATGTGAAAATCTCAATCATTTATAAATAAATAATAATAATAAATAACGATTTAATTGCAAATCATTGATTTATTAATAAATAATTAATTTTTTTAACTAATCATATTAAAAAAAACGTAAAAGGACCATGTGGATTTTCTGTGAGTCAATAGTGTCACATTTGAATCCTAAATAAAATAGTGAGGTTCGTTAATTTAAACAAATTTGCAACTAGTAGGCTGCTAGAATTACTCTTATTAATTTATACCAACAAAAAAATATTTGGCACTCAAACGTGGAGGAAGAACTTTTGGTTCATCAGCTAACACCTCCCATAATATAAAATTCCAATTGCTTAACTTTTTCTTTGACATCTACTCCCCCAACAAATCCTCAAAAAAAAAAAAGTACATCTAAAATTGCCACCAACCCCAAATATAGATTTTAATAATTTCCCAACAATCTTCGATATACTTATTATTAATTAAATTTATTATTTTTTATCATTAAATTTTAATAATTTAACCGTTATAATTTATTGAGAATTAATAATTAATTAATAAATATTATTAAAATAAATTATAATCATTAAAACAACAAAAATTAATGATTAAAATTTAATAATAAATTTAATTAATAATAAGTGAATTTTTTCCTTTCCCTCCAAACAATAGAAAAAGATTATTTTTCTTTTCTCTCTCTAATGTCTGTCACACTGTAACAGTCCTCTGTGGGCGACAACCTCAACAAGCTCTTGTTTTTTTATTTTTTCCTCTCTCTCTCTCTCTCTACAAAAACAAAGACTCTTCTTAACTGCAAAATGAATCCATCATCATCATCATCACCTTCTTCTTCTTCTTCTTCTCACTCTCTTTCTCTCTCTCTTCACTCACTCTCACACACACCAAACCATGGCTTCCTCTTCCTCTCTCTCTCTTTCTCTCTCCCAAGCCCTCCTCGCTCGACCCACCTCTCTCCCCTCCTCCAACCGCCACTGCCTCCCCGCTTTTTCCGGCCTCCGTTCAACCTCCTCCGACCGCATCTCCCTCTCCCTTCCCCGCGCCGCCGCCTCTCTCCGCCGCAGCACCGCCGTGAGATCCGCCGCCGTCGAGACCCTGGAGAAAACCACCGCCGACCTGGTGGAGAAGTCGGTGAACACGATCCGATTTTTAGCCATTGACGCGGTGGAGAAGGCGAATTCGGGTCACCCGGGTCTACCCATGGGTTGTGCCCCGATGGGTCACGTGCTCTACGACGAGGTGATGAGGTATAACCCGAAGAACCCTCAATGGTTCAACCGTGATCGCTTCGTGTTGTCTGCGGGTCACGGGTGCATGCTTCAATACGCTTTGCTTCACCTTGCTGGCTACGATAGCGTGAAGGTGAGTGTGTGTATATGTGTGATGGAAAAACTCAAAAAATAAAAAATATTCTATCTGGGTTTGGTTGGATCTGTTAAAAGTTTGATTTTTTTGGTGTTTGAGATTGGAATCATATCTGGGGTTTTTACCCTTTTGATTAGGTTGAATAGGTAAGTGGTAAAATGGTCTCAAATTTTTTGTTCTTACTTTTGTGTTCTGGTTTATCAAATTTAGATCTATGTATTCCAATTTTATTTAGGGTTTGGTGTTTGTCATTTTAAATGATATAAGTTATGTCATTTTAGTAGAGAGATACACACGGAAAAACGAAAATCATGGGAGAGAGAAGGTGAGTGGTTTTTTTTAATTTAAAATTCAAATTTTCTGTGTCTGTGTCTCTCTTAAAATGACATAACTTTCTATCATTTAAAATGACAAACACTTTTCTCTTTTATTTATTTATTTTGGGGTTTTATATGGTTTGCATTATTTATGGGTATGTGTAACCTTGATCATCTTGACCAAAGGTTGAAGTGAATTTGTTATGTTGTGGGTTCAATTTTTTAGGAAGAAGATTTGAAGGAATTCCGTCAATGGGAAAGCAGAACCCCGGGACACCCTGAGAACTTTGAGACTCTTGGAGTTGAAGTCACAACAGGTTAGATATTTGTGTACTAGCATAACATCCATTTTGATTTTCATTTAGCTTTTTTTTTTTTTTTTTAATCGTTTGTTTATGCATCTATTCTTGCAAATTTTCCAGGTCCTCTTGGTCAGGGCATTGCCAATGCTGTTGGTTTGGCCCTTGCAGAGAAGCACTTGGCTGCAAGATTTAACAAGCCTGACAATGAGATTGTTGATCATTACACGTAAAACAACTAAATCTGATCCCTACCCCACTCCTCTAAATTTTGATCATAAAATTGCGAGGTCTTAATTGTGTGACATTTTGCTAATGGCATTTGTTTTCTGCAGGTATGCTATACTGGGTGATGGTTGTCAAATGGAGGGAATTGCGAATGAAGCATGCTCACTTGCTGGCCACTGGGGACTGGGGAAGCTAATTGCATTTTATGATGACAATCACATTTCTATTGATGGTGACACGGAGATTGCATTCACTGAGAGTGTTGATAGTCGTTTCGAGGGACTTGGGTGGCATGTTATTTGGGTAACGAATGGAAACACTGGCTATGATGATATTCGTGCTGCCATTAAGGAAGCAAAAGCTGTCAAAGACAAACCCACACTGATCAAGGTTAGTTTAAAATGGCCTATGTATACTTAGCTATCTAGCATGTAACTATAACTGTTAGAATCTGTCATGCATTCGGAAATAACATGCTAAGATTTTACTCTTTACAAGTTAATGTAATTCTTTTAAACTAATGCTAGCAACTTGATTTCTTTTACTAACAGACTGCATTATACTCTTTTGAAAACCTGAAAGCTATAGATGTGAAATTAAAGTTGTAAATTATGTGTCTTATCAGTTTGATCAAGGGCTGTTTGTTAGTCTTTTGTTGATTTTATCCATGTCACAGGTCACAACAACCATTGGTTATGGTTCTCCTAACAAGGCTAACTCCTACAGTGTGCATGGAAGTGCACTGGGTGCCAAAGAAGTTGATGCCACAAGAAAGAACCTTGGATGGCCACATGAGCCTTTTCATGTGCCTGAGGATGTCAAAAAGTATGGATGATGGGGTTACAGATTTCTTTGTTTTCTATACACTGTTGAGTGACACTAAATAAGAATTGCTTGTTTGTCCCAGGCATTGGAGTCGCCACATCCCTAAGGGTGCTGCACTTGAAGCTGAGTGGAATACTAAGTTTGCTGAATATGAAAAGAAATACAAGGAGGAAGCAGCAGAATTGAAGTCTATTATCAATGGTGAATTTCCTGCTGGTTGGGAGAAAGCACTTCCGGTGAGTAAACTCCAAGCTTATAGGTTGTTTATGATCTTTACATGGAGTTAACACTTTAAGGTTTGGATTAGGTACTATCCAAAAATGATCATGAATCTGATGTCAAAGATGATCATGATTTGATAGCCTGTTATTTAAATTTTATCACATACTTTCCCTTATTGTTTGCATGGCTGCTTGTTGAACGTGGTACAAAATCCTAAAAAAATGTGTGATCAGGTATAGTTTCAAAAGAAATTCCCGATCTGATATAATTCCTTCATGGTGTTACCAGACCAAACATGCAGGTTGAATTAGTGAGTTAATAAAATAAAAAGAAAAAGTATAGCTGCATGGCCACACCCAGTGGAATTCGCAATTTCACCTAGCTAGTCTCCACCACCCAAATCATCAAGCGGTATACAATAATTAAGATGGGGTGAACCCCAAAAATTTGGATGTCGGAGATGTGCAAGGTGAAATTGCGAGTTCCACTAGGTACTGTCATGTGACAACACTAATATTTTTGTCTTATTTCTTTTAGTTACTCATTGATTTTACTTGCGAGTTTCATTTGGCGGAACCACGTGTAAAAAGGCTAATACCAGATTGAGAATTTCTTTTAAAATTACACCCAATTGGAAATGTTTTTGAGGATTTGTATAATACTGGAAAAAAAGCCTAGCATGCTATAAAATCCCCAAAAAGTTGTGACTGGTTGTAATTTCAAAAGGAATTCCAGATCTGATTTATGCCTTTGCACGTGGTGCTACCAGACCAAATTTGCAGGTCGTAAATGCAAGTTATTGAAATAAAAGTAAAAGGTACACAAGTTACGGAAATAAAAATTAAAGGGTGCAACCATGTGGCAACACCTGGTGGAAATCGCAATTCCACCTTGTGAATCTCCACCACCCAAATTGTTACACAATGTACAATAATTAAGAGGGGGTGGGGCCCAAAAAATTTGGGTGGTGGAGATGTGTAAGGCAGAACTGCAAGTTCGATGGTGTGTTGTCATGTGACAGCACCTTTATTTTTTTCTTATTTCTTTTAGTAACTCGCTAATTCAACTTGCGAGTTTGGTCTAGTAGCTCCACATGTAAAGGCATATACTAGACATGGAATTTCTTTTAAAACTATACCCAATTGCAATTGCTTTTGGGGATTTGTATCACACTGGTCAAAAAGTCGAGTGTGATACAAAACACCAATTTTTTTGTGATTGTGTGTAGTTTCAAAAGAAATCCCAATTTGGTATACGCCTTTACACAGTGTTACAAGTTTAAACTCACAAGTCAAATTAGCGAATTACTAAAATAAAAATAAAAGGTGCAACCACGTGGCAACACCGGTGGAACTCGCAATTCCACCTTGCGAGTCTCCAACACCCAAATTTAATTCAGTGTACAATAATTAAAAGGCAGTGGCCTCCCAAAAATTTAGGTGGTTGAGACGTGCAATGTATAATTGTGAGTTCCACAGAGTGTTGCCGTATGGCACCAACTTTATTTTTTTCTTATTTCTTTTAGTAAATAGCTAATTCGACCTGCTAGTTTGGTTTGGTAGTGCCACGCATGTAGAGGCTTATACGAGATAAGGAATTTCTTTTGAAACTACACCCAATCACAAATATTTTTGGGGATTTGTATCATACTAGTCAAAAAGCCTAGCATGGTACAAAACCTAAATTTTTTTTTGTAATTGGGTGTAGTTTCAAAAGAAAATCCCTATCTAGCATATGCTTTTATAGGTTGTGCTACTAAACCAAACTCCTAGGTCAAATCAGCAAGTTAGTAGAATGAAAATAAAAGGTATGCGAGTCTCTACCACCCAAATTTTTACGCAGTGTACAATAATTAAGAGGGGGTGGGGGTTAAAAAATTTGGGTGGTGGAGATGTGGGTTCCACCTTGCGAGTCTCCACCATCCAATTTTTTTGGCCCCCACCCCTTCTTAATTATTGTACACCGCATAGTTAGACCAAGCTCGCAGGTCAAATTAGCGAGTTACTAAAATAAAAATAAAAGGTGCAGCCATGTGGCTACACTTGGTGGAACTCACAATTCCACCTTTGAATCTCCACCACCCAAATTATTATGTGGTGTATAATAATTAAGAGGGGTTGGGCCCCCAAAATTTTGGGTGGTTGAGACGTGCAAGGTGGAACTTTAAGATGATAGCACCTTTTATTATTTCCTTTAGTATCACGCTAATTCAACCAAAGAGTTTGATATGGTAGTATCACGCGTAAAGGCATATATCAAATAGGGAATTTCTTTTGAAACTACAACCAATTGCAAATGTTTTTGGGGATTTGTATCATATTGGTCAAAAAGCCTAAGTATGGAAGTATGGGTTCTAAAAGGTATTCAAAATAATAAAACCTGAATTCCATGGAATGTCAATAATCATCACCCTCTCAATTTGATTTCAGACATACACTCCAGAGAGCCCAGCTGATGCCACCAGAAATCTGTCTCAGCAAAACCTTAATGCCCTTGCAAAGGTTCTTCCCGGTCTGCTTGGTGGTAGTGCAGATCTTGCTTCTTCAAACATGACCTTGCTGAAAATGTTTGGGAACTTCCAAAAGGATACTCCATCAGAGCGTAATGTTAGATTTGGTGTCAGGGAACATGGAATGGGAGCAATCTGCAATGGAATTGCTCTTCACAGCCCAGGACTGATTCCTTATTGCGCAACTTTCTTTGTTTTCACTGACTACATGAGAGGTGCCATAAGGCTTTCGGCCCTGTCTCAGGCTGGGGTTATTTATGTTATGACCCATGATTCAATAGGACTTGGAGAGGATGGGCCAACCCACCAGCCTATAGAGCACCTGGCAAGCTTTCGCGCAATGCCGAATATTTTGATGCTTCGTCCAGCTGATGGTAATGAAACAGCTGGAGCATACAAGGTTGCTGTGCTTAACAGGAAGAGACCCTCTATCCTTGCCCTTTCAAGGCAAAAATTGCCTCAGCTTCCTGGAACTTCTGTTGCAGGAGTTGAAAAGGGTGGTTACACCATTTCAGACAACTCAACAGGAAACAAGCCTGATGTGATTTTGATTGGAACTGGTTCTGAATTGGAAATTGCTGCCAAAGCTGGTGATGATCTGAGAAAGGAAGGGAAGGCTGTTAGAGTTGTTTCCTTTGTGTCATGGGAACTTTTTGATGAGCAATCAGAAGCCTATAAGGAGAGTGTTCTACCATCTGCTGTTTCAGCCAGAGTTAGCATTGAGGCAGGAACAACTTTTGGATGGGAGAAAATTATTGGAAGCAAAGGAAGAGCAATAGGTATTGATCGTTTTGGAGCCAGTGCTCCTGCTGGAAAAATATACAAAGAGTTTGGTATCACTAAGGAAGCTGTTATTGCTGCAGCAAAAGAGCTTATTTAAATGTATTAGTTTCTGCTCATTTTGAATTTCTGAGTTTTTTCTTCTTCTGGTTTTGGATTGATATTTACATATTGAATAAGAAAAAGTTAGATTACCGTTGCTTGGGATTCTAAGTGAAGCAACATAGGTCAAAGAAGAGTGTAACTAATAAATTTTTATGAACTTGTTATAACTTTTCGACAATTGAGTTTTGCATGGTTAAATTCAATGATGTTCATGATCGTTCATCTAGTCCTCAAGTATGCTAGTGTATTTTCTTTTCCCTGTAGGAGGGAGTGTACAATTTACAAATACACTAAGCATTTGTAAATGTTTGGATGGCCATGTTTTATTTATTGTCCGGTCCAGTTGAGAAAAATTGTATTTTGTTGTACAATTTAGCTTGAAATATGTTATTCCTATTGTATTTTGTTTTCTAAAATTTTCTTTTAGATAAGTTGATTTCGAAAGGGTGAACTTGTAAGTTAGTTGGTAACTTTAGAAGGGTGATCTTATAATCGTTGACTGAATTTTTATTAAAACAGCATAGGTAACTTCTTTATGTTGTTTTGCTATTTAGTAAAGGGGGTTTGTTTTCCTCATATTATAGGAAAATAGTATCCCTTTTTGACGCACACAAATATAGAGAGAAGAGAGAAAATAGTGGTGAGAGAAAATAAAAAAAGTGGGATCTATGTGCTTTTGTGTGTCTATAGGAAAGTGATATTTTTTTTTTTTCAACAAGATATTTGTTTTTCCCTTAGTAAAGACCCCAAAAAAGTAGAATGAGATAAAAGAGATAAAATGGAAAGAAAAGAAAAGAAAATTATTACACTATTGTTTAGATATTTTATGATTTTCTAATTATAAGAATCAGTTCTATAAACAACTAGGGCCTTTTAGGGAGCTGTTTACAACATAATCTCAGGCGTCCAAAAATAATCAATTAGTTAAAAATTAAGCTAATTTTTTTATAGTAAATAATGAAGTGAATAAAATAAGAATTTTATTAATATATTAAGAAATTTTTATATTTGCGGTATAATAATAGTCGACATATCTATTATTTTTCTATTTTTTAGGTGCGGATTAATATATTATGAAATTTTTTTCTTATTTAAATATCACTTTCAAAAAAATAAAATAAACTTTTAAATATATATTTTTTAACATGTTTTTTTCTCTTTGAATACATTCTATATCTTTTTAAGTTTTAACACTCTTTTCTGTACTTGTTTTTTCTGACTAATCAATACCCCTTTTGTTAAATTTATTGTAATAAATTTTAGAATAAATGAATTGTGATAAAAAGATTAAAAATATTTAAAAACGATTAAAATGAAAAATAATTTATGCGAAATATTTATATATTTATGATATGCGAACAATAAAAATAAATTAGTGACACAATCTTATTAAGATTTCATAAAATATAGCTTACCAAAAAAAAAAATCTTAAAATATCCTTATAAGGTACACTTAATTCACAAGTGCTTTTAAACTTTTGTATCTGACATTGCTTTCCTTTATAAAAAAATTGCGAATGACAAAAAAAAAAGGAATAATCACATTGGAGTGGATAGTTAAGAAAAAAATTATAGTAAAGTCCATTTTGCTAAAAAAATTTAAAGTGGACCATTTAGTTGAAATTGTGATCTCTCACAAATTAAAAAAGATTCACATTAGTCCTTCAAAAAGACTAAAATGGATTCATTTTGAATTTTATAAAACTTAGATAATGAATTTTTTTCTAAAAGATTGAAGAGAGTAATTTTTGTTAACATCCACCAAAATGTGCTTTACTCAAAAAAATTATGACGCTAGAGTCCAATGATCTTATTATAATTTACTTATTATAATAACTAATTTTAGTATTATTTTTAAAATTACATTTTGCAATATTACTCTTTAAAATATGTATTGTTAGATGTTTAAACTTTTACATAAACATAACAATTTCAATGGATATTTCTTTTGTAGCTCAAACAATAAATAATTGATCAAGGGTCCCACTTGGGTTGGTGAGACACAGACAGTGTCTCTCTCACCAATTCCCACCAACTCATTTCCCTCTCACCAACCCATTTGTCAAAAAAAGTATTTTAATTTCATTTATTCCTATTTTAGTTACAATTTCAAGCAGTAAAACCTAGTAATCGGAGGCTGTGATGACTCATTTCACTCTATATTTCTTCTATGATTTCTCTTATTATGAATTTAAATTTATGTAAATCTGTATTTCTATTCAATTCAAATGAATTAAAATTATAAATATACACATTATGTAGTCGAATTAATTTATAAATATGTTACCACATATAAAATTCATCATAAACTCAAAATTCTTATAAAGAAATTCTTCAATATTGACATATTCATTTATATTTAATGAAATTCAATAATATATTAGTAGTTATTAATATTTTAGTAACTCATCCTAAAATGCTGCTACTATTCTAACAACTGCCATAGTTATGACAAAAAAAAAATAAAATCAATTAGAATGTATGATATGTGAGGATTAACAAAAAAGAATGAAATGAAAAATAGTAAAATAAAACACATTTTATCTAATATTTCTCGAGGACGGATATTCTTACTACTAAAATTTTCTACTACAAACCCACTACCTATCTAATCACCATTGGATCAACATTTTTTCACTTTTCAAAATTTTTTTAGCATTCTCTCTCTTTGATTCAATGATGATTAGATAAGTAGTAAATTACTAGTAAAAAATTGTAGTAGTAAGAATATCCTCCCTCGTACTTCTCTTCTTTATTTGAGATAAACTTTTAAATTTATTATATTCTATTTTATCCATCATTAAATTTTCAAACTTACATTAGGATTAACCACGTGTCCAAACAAAACACCTAAACCCATTTTACTTGGTAGGTGAAGTTCAGAAATCTTGCACCATCTTTTTTGCCCAATTGTTTTGGTTTAACTGAGTAAGCAATTCAGCATTGTGTTAGTTGGTAACTAATAACCCTTTTTATTTTTCAGAGTCAATCCAACAACCACTCATTGCACCAACCCCAAACTAGTTCTCACAGAAAACCTCCATCAGAGAGAGAGAGAGGAGCAAAGTGTAAAGTTAGAAACTTTAAGGGAAAGTGAAATGGCCCAAGTGAGCAGAATCCACAATGGAGCTCAAAGTACTCAAATTTTTCATCTTTCCTCCGATTCCCACAAACCCAAATTAGCAAACTCAATTTCATTGAAGTCGCACCTTTGGGGCTCCTCAAAATCTTGGAGCTTGATGCATAAAAATGGAGGCTTTGTTGGAAATTTCGTTGTGGGTAAGGGAAACTCGGGTGTATTTAAGGTTTCTGCATCTATTGCCGCCGCAGAGAAGCCGTCGACGGCGCCGGAGATCGTGTTGGAACCCATCAGAGAAATCTCCGGTACCATTACATTGCCTGGTTCAAAGTCTCTATCCAATCGAATTCTGCTTCTAGCTGCTCTATCTGAGGTAAATTATTATTATTATTTTTTTTTTTAATTTACTCATTCATTTTGGGGTTATGTGATTATGAGCTGGGGTTTGATGTGTGATTTGTTTTGAATCTTAATTTAATGTTATGCATTTTATAAGTGAAAATGAAGCATCCTATCCCATGAAAAAATAAAGATGGAAATGAAATAAAGTGGGTTATGATCAGAAATGGGGATAGAACTGTGTCTAGGTGGTTTACATAGGGAGCATATTTGCTAGACACTGGACTGAATCTTATACTTATTCTGGTTTTGAACTTTTTGAAATTTGGCATGCAAGATCTATAATAATAAGTTATAATTCAACACCTGGATTGTTTAAAACCTTTCGTTTAGTTTTTTCAAATATAACAAGTTGGTTGGTGGTATCAAGTTCTATTTAATTGTATTATTTTTACAACTTTCAATTACACAATAGATGTTGCTGATTTTATTTTTATATTTATGTATGTATTTATTTTATTTTTTATTTTATATAAATATATATATATATATATATTATTTTTTTCTTATTCATTATTTATTTTTCCTTAATCTATTCTTGCTTTTATATGGATTCATCAACTGCTGACCTCAGCTAATTTGCAATAAAGGTGATGTTGACGTTGATATTGAACTGCTTAATAGATGTCTTGTTGAGTAGAAAATGTTCTGTTATTTTTATTCAGGGAAGAACTGTTGTAGACAACTTGTTGAATAGTGAGGATGTTCATTACATGCTTGGTGCATTAAGGACCCTTGGGCTGCGTGTGGAAGATGATAAAACAACCAAACAAGCAATTGTGGAAGGCTGTGGGGGGTTGTTTCCCACTGGTAGAGAATCTAAAGATGAAGTTAATTTATTCCTTGGAAATGCTGGTACTGCAATGCGTCCTTTGACGGCAGCTGTGACTGCTGCAGGTGGAAACAGAAGGTCTGTCTTTTATAGTAATTCATCATGATCTTTGAATTACTCATCATATAACTAACCACAACAGAGTACAGATTCTTCCTCTATCCTGTTATAATCTAAAATCTCATCCAGATCATTCAGCCTTTCTTCTTAAAAGACACTTTTAATTATGTGTTTATTTAACATAAGTCTAGCACTTAGATATATTTTATGAGGACTACACCAGAAGGTCTTACTGGTAATCCACCTGAACCTCACTACTTTCTTCTGTTGGAATTAGGTCTTCTATCATGATTACTGGTCTGAGTCTCTAAATTGAACTATTTCTCATTCAATATATGTCAGCTATGTACTTGATGGGGTGCCCCGAATGAGAGAGAGGCCAATTGGGGATTTGGTGGCTGGTCTTAAGCAGCTTGGTGCAGATGTTGATTGTTTTCTTGGCACAAACTGTCCGCCTGTTCGTGTAATTGGGAAGGGAGGACTTCCGGGGGGAAAGGTAAGCTTGCATTAGTTTTGATTAAATGATGCGTCAATTGCTTTATCTATACTTTTATCTTAATTATATCGCTTCTACTGGCACCACCGCACCAGAGTTATTATCTGTTATTGTAGACACTTTTTACGGATCACCTGATTCTGCACTAGAATTTCATATTAATTGAAGTTAGAATTATTGAGGTATTGACACTTGAGGTTTAGTCAAATTTTACCATTTCTTTTGCTTTATGAACTTCAGTGTTGGGAGAGCAAAACTCTAATTTAAGGAGCCTCTCCTCCCCCTCTTTCAAATGACTAATATATGATACTACTTGGAGTTGAATTAAATTTCGGATTGACTGTTGGATGGGGGATTTTTCCTTTCCCGTGGTTATCCCTCGCCTTTATAACCTTCTACTGTTCATGAATCCATTGTGCATTGA